ATGTGACCAATGAATGGCTTTAAAATGTGATGATTTTATTGGTTCATCTTTGTCTTAGTCACGGGAGGGGTGCGAATAACAATTCTGTATTTTTAATATTAAAAATCATTCATTGATTAAGTGTCGATCACTTTCGATCGTTTTGTGTGAAATGGTTTGAAATTATTATTATATTTATCTAACACTCCTGATTCTAATACCAATCAATACTAGTAACAAAAATTTTTTCGAGTAAAATATAAACGAGGTAAATAAATCTAAAAAAAAAAAATAATTAGTCAATTATTCAAATCTAAATTCGATTTTTTGTTCTTGATGATAGGAAATCATAATGGATAATGTAAGATGTTTGATTTGCTCAAGAAGATTAAAAAGTCAGGATTCACTTCTTCTACATGTTAAATCAGCACATTTGAATGCTCCTAATAATACTAATAAGAAAGCAAAAAGAAAACCAAAAAGGCGTAATGGTAATGGTAATGATTATATTTATAATATATTAAAAAATCAAGACTGATTCTAATGAAAATAAATTTACAATTGCTAAATTTGAAGACAACAGTGATGATAGAGATGATAATGGTAATGGCATTGATGAAATTAAAAAAGGAGACAAAGATAGAAATCTTATAATTATTGATGATGATGATGAGTGGGAGGAGAGGGAAATTGACAATGATAGCAATGACAATGATATGAGTACGAGTATGAATATTATTAATGACAATGATATGGGTATGGGTATGAGCACGAGTACGATTAATGACAAAGTTCAAGATATAAAAGAAATCAGCATTAATAATAATAATAGTAATATTCAAATCCAAATCCAAATCCAAAATAAAAAACAAGAAAATGACATCAGTGACAATAGTAATAGCAATATTCATAATCAAAATATAAAAAACATCATTACTACATCAACTAAAGGCAAAGAAACTATTAATCAATCCAATAATATCATTGAAATATATCCGCAATTTCCTTGTGAAATGTGCAATGCGTCTTTTTCTTCACTATTAGAATTAAGCAATCATATAGATTCCAATCATCCAGAAGCTTATCACCCAATTCTAATCACTTGTCCTGGATGTAAAGAAGTCAATCATAATAGATATTCGTTTAGTAGACATAAAAGGCTTGTTCATAATATGAAAGGTATTCAGGAGGATGAAATAAGACATGTTCCACTAACATTCAAGCAAAAGAAAGGCAAAAAAAAAAAATCAAAAATCAAAAATCAAGGTCCATTAAATAAAGTACAACATAGTAATCAAACAAACAATCAGACACAGAATCCACACGCAATTCCAAATATTAATTCACCAGGACTCAATAATAACAATAATACTTACACCAATAGTGGTAGTCTTCCTCACAATAATCATATCAATAATTTTAGTCCCATCAATAATTTTTTAACCCTATCAATTTAATAGTATTGATGAATCAGATCAGTTACCATGCAATTTACTTCAACAACAGGACAAGTTAAGATTTGCAATATGAATTGCGAATCCAATCTAGCCTTTTCACTTCATAAAATACAAACACACTGATCAATTGAACCAGCGTTGTGCTATTTATGGTTCCAATAAATTTTCATTGGAGCATTCCAACAAATTCTAATTGGAATTGGAACATTCCAAATGTGGTTCCAATGAAGTTAACCAATGAAATTCAATTAGAGTGCCACACACACAAATTTTATTGGTCAATCTACATTGAAACCATATTGGAGCCACATCGGAACATTCCAAATAGTTTACATGATTTTTTATTTTTTTATTTTAAGCTTGTAAGAAAAAATTTCAAACTATTAAAATATAATCACATGTTAATTAAACAGGGTAAATAATTTTTGTATATAAGTACTTTTATCAATTGATTTATTTTTCTTTGTGTGCATCTCACCATTTACACATCATGAGTAGTTAACAGAGTATCAATAGAAATACTTAATTTTGGTTTCAACAACACCTACAAAAATAGCAATGATTTTCAGCAGTTTTTCTAATTTACCTCCTTCACATCAGCTTACTA